ACACCTGCGCTTGAATATTGCCTTGCTACAATGCGATAGAGAGTGCGGGAGACCTTGAATTTTAGTTTCAGTGAAATTGCGCTGTAGGGTCTTCGCGCACGTGCGCCGTGACAGAGCTTGCGGGGGCGGGGGGGATGTGTGTGTGTGCGCGCTGCATGGTGGTCCCATGCGATCCTGTCTCTCAGATGTCGGCCGCGGCAGCAGCAGCCATAACAACAACGACGACGACGGCGGCGGCGACAGCGATGATGACTACGAAGACGTCGACAGCAGCAGCAGTAGATGTAGCAGTAGTAGTAACAGCAGCAGCAGCAGCAGCAGCAACCGCTCACCAACACTCACGGGCACTTGGAGCATATCAGAGAATAAATTGATACCTAATACTGTAATCGTAATTAAAATCGAATTATCCACGTATGTGTGCGGAGGTGTAGCGATCCGCCGTGTACTGACAATGTACGCGAGCTGTTGAGTAGTGAATGATATAGAATTACCAGGTTACATGCATGAAGACATAACACATACAACGCATATCACTGTGTGCATTCTTTATTATTAGTATAAATTCTGATGTACGATGTAATGCCGAGAAGTTAGACAATAGGGGGATAGCTGGAAAAAAACTTGTGTTAGACAATAGGGGATAGCTAGGAATAACGTTCTATACTTATTTCGAACACCTTATTTTTGTGTTTGTTTTTAAGAATGCTGATATATTCTATATCTAAGTTCTAACACCCAATTTTTATTTTTGCTAATATTTTTTTGTAAATCTGATATTGTAGACAGTAACTGTTGTTGGTTATTTATTTTAAATACAAATCCGCTATGTATATTATCAAGAGCGTATAAAGAAGGCCTTCTTTATATTCTTATAAAGAAGACCTTCTTTATCTGCTCTTGATATTATGTATTTCTGACTTAGATTCGAATGTCCAATGCGGTCAGTTATCGGTGTGTCCAGGTGTCGTGTGGTAGGCGGTGGTTAGCAACGCGCTGCTCCCACGCCGTGTAGGCTGTGGCAGGAGGGGGACTCCATGCGTACCCCGCTACACACCTGTGACATCTATTGTTGGCTGTAGCGTGACACTGGCTGCGGGAGGGAGGCGTGGTGGAGCGGTGGGGGTGGTGGGTCGTAATTACTGACCCGATATCATCGCGTATACGCCTTTTGTTGTCGCTGCGCGCGCGCGCGTGGGCACCGCGTCTCGCTTTCCCTGAGATCTGGGAAACACGCACGCACGCACGCACGCACGCACGCACGCACGCACATACGAACTCTCGGCTGCCGTTACGGGGACTTATCGGCTGTGTGCATTGTCGTTGTGATGATGGTGTGTGTCGGGGTGAGGGCAATGAGGGGGAACCAGGTGGTTGGACATTGGTTGACAATTACGTGTACTAACTATAGCCGCTACGAACACCAACCTTATCCCTAACCTTTACAACTCCGACGGCATAGGGATGTGTGAAATGCGAAGCATATATATATATATATACAATATATATATATATATATACTATATATTTTTTATTTCTTTAAATATATATATATATATATTATCAAGAGCTAATAATACCTTAGAGCTAATAAGAGGTATTATTAGCTCTTGATATTATATATATTATCCCTCTCGTGCCCCTAAAAATAGTGCAACCTATAAATAAATACGTGCAACCAAATAAATACTAGTTGTGCCGCTCGTGAGACGTGAATATAATGATCGATGTATTTCGTAGATGCACGTGATGGAGTTCGTTCGATGTTTTGCGGGATGCGCGTGCAGTCGTCTGCGCATTTTACACGCGTCGTCGTTGTCATGGTGATGCTTAGTGGCAGCCGCTACAGTGTTTGCCTTCTTGCTCTCGTAAACTGCGCAATAATGCGTTTTTGCCGAATGAACACATCGTGTGATATTTACGGGCGAGTATACTTGGCTAATGTTTTTATGTTGCTGTTATTTTGTGTACTGTTCGGGCGAGACTCAACAACAGTTCGAACGCGACACTACTATATATATATATATATATTTATATATAATGTACACTGTATATAGATTACTCTATGTTTATTGTAGATATTCTCTATAACGGAGTTAGCGGTTGGTATGATAGCATGCAGAGTCAATTTGCGGCGATGTTGCCTAGGTAACTGCTGCAATATGCTACATTGTTATAGTCCCCGTTCGATTGACCTGTCTAGTTATTTACTGACCATGATGTGTTGTTATACCTGTAGTCCTCACAGCATTGGCAGGCCACTGCCCTCTGCTGTTATATCCACCTCCACGTACACGTCTGCAGCGCATGCACCCTCGCAATTTTCGAGTTTATGTACTTTTCGTGGCAAGTGGAAGTGCGTGTATATAAATGCCGCAGCTGAAGCCCACGCGCCTAATGACTTCTGCACATAGTAATGTAGACTGTAGTACAGAGGGACTAACCAGTATGTGATTTCCACGGTTGTGTGTACGCTTGCAAGGCTGGATGCTATGTATGGCTGTAGTATGGGGTGGAAGCTAGCACTCGCTTTAACAATCAACCCCCGGGACGGATGAATGCTAGCAGGACGTTGAATAAAAACCGAGAGCCATGACACGCAGACTCTACAGAATGACTCCACGCCGGACCGTGTCTGAAAACCGGTAGTGGAGTAGCCATACAATAAGAGTCCGGTCGCGTATATAGCCTTCGTTTCATACCCTCACGCGCACACTGATCGCCGCGTGCGTGCTTCAGTGCGTGCTAAGGCAGGGGCCATTAGAATGAACACGAAGCGTAAATGTGCGTGTGTGTACGTGCCTACAACGTAACACGTTATCCTTGGACTGATGCAGCACATAGATGCATGTCCGGCACATAGAAAAAAAAAGCGCGCAAAGCAATCGTGTGGGTCGATCGTGTAAATTAAACGAACTGTGAACGCTGGCGCTTTGGCACATTCCAACTTCGATAGCTTAGATGCGTATTTTCGCCGCATTTACATGATTTTACGCTCAAATGATATTTACTAGGTTATCCGTCATGCGTATCTGCCGGTGTAAGAGGTGTAGTGACGATTTTAAATTCGGTTACATTTCACAACGAGTCAGTACTCCTAGAGGCAGCATGACGCGAGTAAACCCCACGGCCATTTTTTCTATTCGAGATTTTTAAGCAAAGTTTCAAGGAAATATTTGCATCACGTAGAGTCACTGTCAATTTATTGTGGATCATTCTGCCTTGAGATTTTCACGATTCCCGTTTTCCTTCAACTTTAAATTAGGAAGGTTTACACTCGAACGCACATATTTTATTTCACAACACTGGAATTTCCTATTAGTTTGGTTGTATGTCTTTTCCTTGACCTAATTTCCTAACCTACCTCAATGCAGTGTAATGTCAGTCTGATGATGTCGGGTGGTGTGTGTTAACAGCTTTATACACAGACTAGTATAAACCAGCTACAATTATACGCGCTCAATAAATCCGCACATTTAGTGTAATCATCTCTGCAACTGATGTGTGATCTGTATGAGTGTGAGGAGGTTTGTGGGTACGAGCTTGGCTAGCTGTAATGTCGATGTTAATATCAACCGTGCTCATCTTCCCTTCGTGTTATTTTATTACCTCTACGTATATCAAGAGTAGATTACTAGATAATAGGATCTCCTATTATGTACTCTTGACGTATATACATGGACGAGCATACACAAAAACGTGTTCGTATCATAGTAAAAAAAAAAACATTGTTTATGATTATAGCATGGACATTGGTCAAGACTGTAAATATAAAACTTCTTTTATATCACTCGCTTATTAAATGTAATATATTATATACGTCACTTTTTGCACTCACTAAAAATCGGAAAAATGTGGTTGTGAACTGCTCATGTAAAATCGGCACCTACACAATGACCTGTTGCCATGCGACGATGTTATTGACAAAGCGCATCTCTTCTACTTGCAGTTGTCGGGAGGGGGTGTGGACCTGACCTTGGCTGAGCTTCAGGAGATGGCCACCAGCAGCAGCAGCAGATAGAGACGCAGCAGAGATGCTGGTTGCCAAGGAACAGCGGCTGAAGTTTCTCAAGCAGCAGGTGGGTGTGCTGGCATCACTAGTGCTGAGAGGGTCTATGTCCCGCCAGAGTACTACCGGCACGTACCCTGGGTACGGTCCGGTATACCGAACGTACCCAGGTACTCCTACGTCTACTCCCTAACCCTAACTCTAACCATCTAATATGCCGGACCGTACCTCGCCTACGTCTACTCCCTAACCCTAACTCTAACCATCTAATATGCCGGACCGTACCTCGCCTACGTCTACTCCCTAACCCTAACTCTAACCATATCAGATAGTTACCAGGGTATGTTCCTGTATACCGATGACCCTATGAGCATCACTAGTGATGATTAAGGCACAGCGTGTGGTCAGTGACCCGGTCGTTATCACGCTAGTAGAACGATGACAGTGTTTTAAGGCGGGCAGAGTTTCCGTTTTCACATTTTGAAATCAATTGGTTGCTCGCGCTGTGTTTGCATCGACTGAGACAGGTGCCTGCGGCAAACAGCTCTGTTTTCTGAGAATAGGACACCATTACTTCTAACAAAAGAAAAAAAGCCGCACACTTGGCGTGGCAAATCTATATCGTGTATGCTTATTTTACTAGGGCATGTGTGTTGTGTACATGCATTAAGCTAGCTCTCTACTCGTGGAGCCATTAACTTCACCATGCAGAGACTGGAGGGTGAAGGGCAACACACGAGTAGCGCTAACATGTTCAGCCTGCCTGTTTCAAAGCGCAAATTCTTTACAGTTTAAAACTTTTGACCTTGTGCACAGTTTTGACCTTGGCAAGCTTAGTAGGAATTAAGGTTAACCGACAACAATGTGCAGCACGGTGACATATTTGCTCACGATTCTTGGTCACCAGTAACGCTCATAGGGTCTATGTCCCCCAGGGTACTGCCGGAACGTACCTTGGTTACGGTCCGGTATACCGGAACGTACCCTGGTAGCTATTTGATATGGTTAGGGAGTAGGCGTAGGCAACTCCCTAGACTCGTTAGTGGAGTAGGCGAGGTACGGTCCGGCATATTAGATAGTACCAGGGTACGTTCTGGTATACCGGACCGTACCTAGGATATGTTCCGGCAGTACCCTGGGGGACATAGACCCTCTCAGCACCAGTAACTGACATCATCTTTCTTTCATCGCCTATTTATTGTCAAGTTTAGCATACTGCTTAGTTTGGATAGAGCTGCTTGGCTGTAGTGTCACCAGGTGGCGATACTAGTCAGTGTCGTGTATCCTGGTAGAAGTAGAATTCACCAATAGGTGGCATTCATAGACGGCAGGACTGAAGTAGGAAGCAGGCAGTTTCAGTGCATACACAATGTACAGTTTATTCGTAGGTGCTAAACGATTTCAAACTTCACTCGGAATTTCGACGTAGCACAATGGTGAACAATTGGTTTGATATAACGTAATATATTGTTTCCGTTTCGCTTGTCATGTCACTATTTAGTCTGCAGTGGGGGCGCCACCGTACTGTCTGTGGTGGGGCGCCATCGTACTGTCTGCTGGGGGGGCGCCACCATACAGCCTGTTGTGGGGCGCCACCGTACTGTGCGGTGGCGGCGCCCCCGTACTGTCTGCGGGGGGGGGCACCGTACTGTCTGCGGGAGGGGGGGCACCGTACTGTCTCTGGAGGGGGCACCGTACTGTTCAACAGGCGTTCATGAATATGACGTTGTTATTGTAACGGCGCGTAACGATCAGCGAGTTGCCGAGCTGTGTAGCACCTGCCTGCTATATGTATGCACGCATGCAGACAGCAGGTTCTCCCACACACACACAACGCACAACACACCACACACCCACGCACGCACACACACACAACACACACCACACAACACACACACACAGCGACGCTCACACCGCAACACACGGATGCAGTTACCGGAGTTTGTACGCGATTAGCATGACAGCGGACGCTATGCCTACTCCCACAATCATTCAGCTTTCAACCTATATATATATATATATATAATATATTATATATATACTCTGCGCTTGATATTGCCTTGCCTACAATGCGATAGAGAGTGGCGGGAGACTTGAATTTTAGTTTCAGTGAAATTGCGCTGTAGTCTTCGCGCACGTGCGCCGTGACAGAGCTTGCGGGGGGGGGGGATGTGTGTGTGTGCGCGCTGCATGGTTGGTCCATGCGATCTGTCTCTCAGATGTCGGCCGCGGCAGCACGCAGCATAACAACAACGACGACGGCGCGGCGACAGCGATGATGACTACGAAGACGTCGACAGCAGCAGCAGTAAGATTAGCATTAGTATAACAGCAGCAGTCAGCGCAGGCAGCAACCGCTCACCAACACTCACGGGCACTTGGAGCTATCAGAGAATAAATTGATACCTAATACTGTATCGTAATTAAAATCGAATTATCCACGTATGTGTGCGGAGGTGTAGCGATCCGCCGTGTACTGACAATGTACGCGAGCTGTTAAGTAGTGAAATGATATAGAATTACCAGGTTACATGCATGAAGACATAACACATACAACGCATATCACTGTGTGCTTCTTTATATTAATAGTATAAATTCTGATGTACGATGTAATCCGAGAAGTTAGACAATAGGGATAGCTGGAAATAACTTGTGTTAGACAATAGGGATAGCTAGAATAACGTTCTATACTTATTTCGAACACCTTATTTTTTTGTTTTGTTTTTTAAAGAAAGCTGATATATTAAACACCCAATTTTTATTTTTGCTAATATTTTTTTGTAAATCTGATATTGTAGACAGTTGTTGGTTATTTATTTTAAATACAAATCCGCTATGTATATATATTATCAAGAGCCCATTAATCCTTAAGGGTTAATGGGCTCTTGATATTATGTATTTCTGACTTAGATTCGAATGTCCAATGCGGTCAGTTATCGGTGTGTCCAGGTGTCGTGTGGTAGCGAGGGTTAGCAACGCGCGCTCCCAGCCGTGTAGGCTGTGGCAGGAGGGGACTCATGCGTACCCCGCTACACACCTGTGACATCTATTGTTGGCTGTAGCGTGACACGGCTGCGGGAGGGAGGCGTGTGAGCGGTGGGGGTGTGGTCGTAATTACTGACCCGAATCATCGCGTATACGCCTTTTGTTGTCGCTGCGCGCGCGCGCGTGGCACCGCGTCTCGCTTTCCCTGGGAAACACGCACGCACGCACGCACGCACCACGCACGCACGCACATACGAACTCTCGGCTGCCGTTGCGGGACTTATCGGCTGTGTGCATTGTCGTTGTGATGATGGTGTGTGTCGGGGGGGGGGGGGGTGAAGGCAGAGGGGGAACCAGGTGGTTGGACATTGTTGACAATTACGTGTACTAACTATAGCCGCTACGAACACCAACCTTATCCTAACCTTTACAACTCGCGACGCATAGGATGTGTGAAATGCGAAGCATATATATATATATACAATCAAGAGCTAATAATACCTCTTATTAGCTCTAAGGTATTATTAGCTCTTGATACAATATATATTATTTCTTTAAAATATATATATATATATATATCAAGAGCTAATAATACCTTAGAGCTAATAAGAGGTATTATTAGCTCTTGATATTATATATATTATCTTGATATTATCCCTCTCGTGCCCCAACAACCTATAATAAATACTAGTTGTGCCGCTCGTGAGACGTGAATATAATGATCGATGTATTCGAGATGCACGTGATGATGGAGTCGTTCGATGTTTTGCGGAATGCGCGTGCAGTCGTCTGCGCATTTTACACGCGTCGTCGTTGTCATGGTGATGCTTAGTGGCAGCCGCTACAGTGTTTGCTTCTTGCTCTCGTAAACTGCGCAATAATGCGTTTTGCCGAATGAACCATCGTGTGATATTTACGGTCGAGTATACTTGGCTAATGTTTTATGTTGCGTTATTTTGTGTACTGTTCGGGCGAGCCAATGTTGTTGAAGGTGAAAGTAGCGCAATGCTCACACAGTTCGAACGCGACACTACTATAATATAATATATATATATATAGTATATTACAG